AATTTAATTAATTTGAATCAATGAATATAGAAAAAGAATAATTTATATACATTTAGACAAATGACATTATATCATAGATTAAATATTATTGAAATTAAATAAGTGTACATGAACTTAAATAATTTATCTACTCCTATAATTATTGAATATCACCCAAATTATATGATCTTTAATAATTTACATACTCCTAGAATAATTTATGACAAAATGAATAATCTTGAAAATAAATACTTGTTCATGAAATTGAATAATTTATTTACTCATAGAATAATTGAATAGCTCCCACAACATGTGTACATAAACTTGATAATTTAATGTTATACTTATATGTAATATATCCATAAATAAATGTTCATTAGTATACATGTACATACATAAATAATTGAATTGTAGTATTTCTAGAGTGATTAAACAGCCACAAAATATATAAAATGTAGATGTACGAACTTGAAGAATTAATTGATTGAATTATAGTATGATATATATAAATTAATGTTAATTATTATCATACACGTAAATAAATAATTAAATTGTATAAAAAGTTCATTTCACATAAACAAATTTTTTAACTATTTTTTATATTCACTGATTTTCAAATATCATTTTTACAGTATTTATAAAGCATTTTAAAATAACGTGCAACATACGTTTAGCCGCGACTAGTGATATTATGCGAGCGTAACCACGTCTCCCTGGCCAAATAATAGGTCGATTATGGTAAATTTGTCGCCTTTCATTTTTAGTAACATGTTTAATTCGTTGAATTTGGGTTCATATAATTGCCAATATTTTCTATGAAAAATGTATTTTTTTCACATAATTTCCTACTTTTGTACGATTTGATTGACAATTTTTTTCACTAAAAATATTTCTCACTTTTAATCACTTGATCATATTTTTCTTGAAAACAAAGAAAATATTTTCGTGGTTTTTATTTTTTATATAATTCACTCTCTCTTTCTCTCTCTCATATACTTACCAAAAAAAAATAGATAAGTATAATATTTTCTAGGTTAAAAGCTAAATCAATCAAACACGTTTAATTAATAATTTTCATACAAATTTGTTTGGGCAATTGAATTGTTATAATTTATTTTTTCTATATAAATTTCATTCTCGTAATCAAGAGCATCCTTATTAAAAGTTCGGGAAAATTACAGCTACGATACCAAATCTTTCATTTAGTTACATAATTTGTACAAACCTTTCATTTGTACCACCGTGAGTACAAAACCTTTCAAAAATCCGTACTTAAAATCCAAATGGATAGGAACTGTTGGTTTAACTATTAGTTGACTAAAGAATTAGAGTTTGACTTATTTTCACCAATTTTAAAGGGGTAACATGGTAAATTTACATTTTTTTCCCAAAGAAAAAATTACATTAACTAATAAATCAAAATGCAAAAAACCTCAAAATCACCGCAACCCACCAACAACGCCTCCACCATCAGCGTTCTCCAAACTTGGACTCGAGAAGATTTATTCTCTTTCTTCAGTTTTGGAATTTTTTTCAGCACTTGTGATTTTCTTCTGCACTTTCACCTTTTTTCTTTCCCCTTTGTAATGAACATTTGATCCTATTTATAGGGAAAATTTGTGACCAATTTTGGTAACCACTCAATTAATTCAATTAAATTAATTATAATTTAATAATTGTGGATTTTAAAAGAATAGGATGAGCTTTTAAAATTTTATGGGTCGTAGTAGACTTTAATTTAGTAAACTTAGTTGGGCTAGTTATTATTTTATTTATTTAATTATTTTATATCTATAAATGCCCCCTCAAAATTTATTTATTTATTATGAAATAAATAAATAAATTAATCTTGATTTTCAACTTTATTATTATTATTATTATTATTATTATTTTTTTTTTTTAACTTAACTATTATTCGATTACTTATTTGATTTTAAACCCATTTTTTATGTTTTATGATAAATTGAGCTTAAATGAAGTCCGACACTCGCCTATTTATATGAACGAATTATGATATTTAGAAATCANTTTAGTAAACTTAATTGAACTAGTTATTTAAATTGACACAACCTATTATTTTATTTATTTATTTATTTTTATATCTACAAATGCCCCCACAAGATTTATTTATTTATTATGAAATAAATAAATAAATTAATCTTGATTTTCAACTTTATTATTATTATTATTATTATTATTATTTTTTTTTTTTAACTTAACTATTATTCGATTACTTATTTGATTTTAAACCCATTTTTTATGTTTTATGATAAATTGAGCTTAAATGAAGTCCGACACTCGCCTATTTATATGAACGAATTATGATATTTAGAAATCAATTGGTTAAATTTGCAAACAAAAGGTAAAACAAGATTATGCTTCTTTTATCTCTTCTTTTCAATTTTTTTTTTCAATTGGTTTCTGCTGGCAGAAACCAGATTTCTACCAACAAAACCCAAGAATTGGCAGAAACCATGGCAAGAATTGGTTTCGGCCTTGGTTTTCACGTTTTTTTATTGGTTATTGGTTTTTCCTGACAGAAATCAAGATTTTGTTTCTTTTTTACGTTTTTTTCTCTCTCTTCTTGGTTCTTGGTTTCTGTCGGAATTGGTTTCTTTTTTACGTTTTTTATAGTATGATTGTTATAAAATTGGAACTAACATTCTTCATCTTTATTTTCAGATATTCAACTTTTGGAACAAGTCAAAAATTTTGAGGATCGAGATTTTCTTGGTGTAGAGTAAAATTTTATACTGCAATTATTTTACAAGTTGAGAAAATATTTGCTTATGAACAAACTCAAAATCGTAAACTTTTTCACGCACATTGAAGACCAATGACTACCACTTTTTGCCATCCGAGGCACTTTGTGTTGGGGACCAATGACCGACTCCTTCAACCGTCCAATGCACTTTGTATTTGGGACCAAGGACCAACTCTTTCGACCGTCAAAGGCACTTTATGTTTGGGACCAATGACCTACTCATTCGACCGTCCAGACACTTTGTGTTTGTGACCATTTACATATTGGGAAGGCTTATGATTTAGACAATAAATGAATTTAAAAGATTTACTTCCTGTCAATAATAATTTTTTGTATGATTTAGACAATAACTCTCTCTCTCTCTCTCTCTCTCTCTTAAGAATGGCTAGGACAACTCCAATAATAGAGTGTATTATGATATATGCGAAATCGTTGAGCTTAAAAGTCAATGCAAAAGTTACATTTGCTCCAAATATACTGATGTGAAGTACCATACCCAGTCTGGCATACTGGGTGAATTTAAATTTAGCATCCATAAGCCAACTATAGATCATTCCCCTAACCTCTTGGAGCCTTTGTCAAAGTTGCATATACCCATTATTAGTGAATGTCTCGAGAATTTAGAAGCGCCACGTCCAACCGATCTAGTAGTCATCTTTCCCTTTCGTGTCTTCTGCCTCATCATTTCCAAAGCATGGAGCCATGAAGTGCATCCCCAGGGCCGTAATTTGTAAGAGAATTGATAATAGACAAATACAATAGGGAATTTCGCTTGTCAGTCATGGAGATATTTCTTTTCTTTCAAAGTTTTGGGAATGGTCTTCATGGGTTCAGAAACTTCTGCTCAAGAGGAATTTTCTCCAGTTAGCTTCTGCAGTCAGCTCTACTACAAAGGATTATCATTGCTCAAATTCTATCTACAGAGCTCTTTGTGATGTTTAGTGTACAGAGACCAACAATTTTGTGACCGCCATGGTGAAATTGACATTTCTCTTTGGGACATCCGCGAGATAAGTAGACTTTTGATCATGGGTCATTACTATAAGGAAGTAGTCCCAAGCCTTTCAGAGTTGACAGATTACCTTCCTAAGTCTTGTATGTACCTTTTTAATGCCTGTGCATTGATTGCCAATGCGAATGAATCTGATTGCGCCAGTCACGAAGAATTGATTAATTTTTGGTTTAACTAGAGTGGTTATTCTCAGAATCCTCGACGACACAAAAATTATAAGAATGCTATGAATCTAAATCCATTTAAGAGGTGTCATCAAAGAGTTTCAAAGGAAATACAAAGCCCGTGGTTGTAGACAAGCCGAGAGATATTATCCGTAGGGATCGGAGTCATTGGAACGATTTGTCAATATCTTTGTCCATAGAAAAAGAAAAGGAATTAGAAATAGCAGCTTATCTCTCCATGTGGCTTTGTCGTTTCATTCTTCCATTTGGGGACGAGTGTATAAGAGTTGGGACTTTTAAAGCATCTTCTAAAATGACAGATGGGTACACTTACAGTCTAATTCTTCCTATACTAGCGAGCATTTATAGAGGATTTAAACGAACATCGAACCATCAATCAAACCTGGACCTTGGCCCGAATTCACATTCATTTCCTGGACATTTTCTTTATGCT